TTTCGCTTCCTCCTCCCTCTCCTCCCTTCACGATAATGCCTCTGCTTCCACGGTCTGCTAGGAAACATGGTACCTTATCTGCTATCTGCAGTCATACTCACACTTTTTGGTGTTGTATGAAAAAACTTTCAGATTTGTGAAAATGTGGTTGAAATCGGTAAGGAAGTGTCTAGCATTGACGAAGGCTACGACTATGCTGTCGCTATCGTTGATCGCGAGACTGGAACAACAACATACCGTCCAGTTCGTTTGTACAACTTCCAGGCGACCTACTCCTCAGACATTCCGCAACTAATTGGAGAGAAGTTCGTTGGTTCACCAGTCCGGTTTTTAAACTGCATTTCTTTCCTATCTATTTTGCCACACAGTGAACAAATAGTGAAGTGATGGTGATAAAACCAAGTAATAAATTCAAAGTTCCGTGGGATGACTCTTCGATGCTACCGTAGCCGAAAGAGCAGCCCCTGCCTGTGGTAAAGTAATACCAAGGACCATGTCCTATCATTCCCGCCGCTGATTCCATCCTAAGCTTGGGCGAAACGGGGTTGCGTTATGGACCCGCCTCTTTTCTCCAAGGGGTCGCGCTATTTGCAGTCTAGAAACGCAAAGTATGGCTGGTCCTATAACACAACCATGTCTCCCCTGAGCTCAGGATAGAATCAGTAGCAGGGGCGTGTCGGAAGGATAGGATACGGCCCCAGCTGTGCTCCCGTTCGTGCAATACAAGGATAGAGAGTGGCGAGAGAGAGAGAGTAGAGAGCGTTTTGCTTCTTTCTCAGAAGAGCATATTTTAGCGAAATATTTCAAATAGTGCTAAATGTACAATTTACAATCGGATTTCAGGAGAAGTGCTCCCGTGGACTATAGCGCGTCCTACGATATCAAGACTGAGGAATGGGCAAAGAAACGCATGGATTTGACTGCTGATTTCGGTTCTTCGAAGAAGATGAAGATTCAGGAGGCGTCCATCCGAAGACAGATTAACACAGTACGATCTTTGTTATGGTGTCATTTAGACATCGATTTATTTGATTTGCTATCTTAGGAGACCCTGGATGCTATGCGTAAGACAGCTTTTGCGTCAACAAGTGTTCTTGCGGATACTGAAGACATCAAGCAGGAACAGATTAGCTTGGTGGCCAAGGTAAGGTGTCTCTTTCATGAAAGTACTTGTATCCTTTGTTCGAAATCCGTTTTTTCTATGGCTGTTCCAGGCAGAGTCGGCTATTCTTCCTCACGCTCAGCCTGCAGAGCTGCCACGTAACATTTATCCCATTTCAACGTTTATAACTGCGGAAGAGCAGGAGCTGTTGAGTGCTTCTGCAGTCGAGTTCCTCTCTTCGTCAAAAAAAGAACTTCTTGAAAAAGGTGTCAATTTGTTGTTTCTGTTGGAAGTGCGCACCTCATCAAGCTTTCGAATAACTTTGATATTTTTGAATCGGAGTAATTCGAGTAACTTCTCGCCATCCCAAAATGGGGATTCCGAGGAGGTGCAAATATTCTCTTGATTAAGGCTGTCCCGAAGTGGTTGTGAAGATGCTACCCAGCTCAGTGACTAGTGACGCTCCAAGGGCGTTGCATTTACGTTTTGGCGTTGCGATGAGCCACATGGGCTGCGTAAGTTCTTTTGAAAGTTTTCCCTTGTCATTCTATCTTTTATATTCTTTTCAGTTATTCGCACAGAGATCTGTTCTGAAAACCGAATTCGACAAAACTCCTTTCCCGTCAGAGTTTGTTCAGAAAATCATGGCAGATTTTATAAGTAAGTGTTCACAAATCCCTTTCCTCTGTTTTAGCCTTTACTGATTTTCATTACTGCTTCCCTTGAACGTATCCTCATAATTTTAGGTGCGCAGTGGGATAGAGGACCTAATGGCCGCACGGCAGCTCGACTAGCTGTGTCTACGGATGAGAAAGACAAGCTAATAGCCCATTTGCTGGCACTTGGTCTCACTCTCAGTCAGTTTTGTTTCAATAAGCTAATGCACGACACTTAAGCCCTGCCTTTTCGGTCATGTAATTTGAAGAAAGGTGATGTGTTAGGCTGCGTTCATTCCACTACTCCAAAGATAAGGGAGATTGGAATTGGTGAAGAGCAGTAGAACATCTTGCGCTTCTATGGGATTAAGATATTTCGCTGCGAAGATTAAATAGGTATTGATTGATGTATATTCAAATCCTAATCTCCAAGTCAATACGTTTTCAGTCTATTCATCAGAATAACCCTCCCTCCTAATATCCAGTCACTTAATATCTTAATCTCCTGAATCTCGAAATATGGCCGTAGTCTTATCAGCTTAACCGGACGTCTTTCATTCGATGCTAGAGTCACTTCTCTCTTTCATGCTTTTCTATGGGTGTCAGCTAGGCTTAAACTAAATTAAATCAAAGCAATAGTTTCTCCTGCTTGGGAACTGTGTATATCAGTTCTCCACTTAGGATGGGACATCTTGGATTTGCTAACGCTGACTTATGGTAAATCCTAAGCCTGACCTCAAGCTCAAGCGTAAGCCAATGTGAGATTATAAGCCTAAACCTGATCCTAGGCTTCAGTGGGTGTGGATCGCTCGGATGAAAGCGGCTTCTCCGCTTCCCGCAACGCGAAAGTTTTTTCGCTGTGAGAACTCCAGGTCCACACATGATTAGTGGTGGACCTGGGGTTCTCACAGCGAAAAAGCTTCGTATTGCGAAAAGCGGAAAGTCGCTTCTATTCTAGCGAACCACCCCCGGCTTCAATCATCACACAGTATGGTAATCTGGCTTAGGAGTAGAAGTGAACGTCTTCTCTGATCTTCTCTGAAAATCTGATGTAAAATCTATCTAATCATGCTCAGGCTCACTTGATTTGCTCCTTTACTAATCTCGCAAAGGAAAACCTAATCGGCCTGAGCTTAATTTGATGGAAGCGATTGCACAAGGGTGAGGATCGGCCATGGGTTTCTTAGTAAGCCCTATCAAATTGTCATCAATTATTCGAGTAAAACAATAGCCATTTCACACTTAGAGGGTGCACTGCTGTTTATTTAGGTCTTTCAGTCGACTACATGTCTTCTACAGTTCCTTAAGTTTTTGCTGTAATTCGGAGAGGGAGAAAGGGTCGTGTATTTAGAAATGGTCAAGCGAACATATTCCCTCGGTAGTATTGAAATCAAGCGTGTCATCAGTATCGCCAGTTTGTAAACGTAATGTCAACTTTAATTTCAGGTTCCTGCTGCTCTCTACCTGTTACTCCATGGCAAAATGCCTTGAAAGCGGTCGTCACGATTTTTAGAAAAGGTATGTTTTTTCGATTACAGTTTGCTGCTTTTGTCATAGCAATAGAGGTATAAGGTTGTCGGCATGTTATAATTGCTCTGTTATGTGCTTGGCACTTGGCTTCCACTAAAAACCATTGTGGTTTTGAGTTACTGTTCAATAATTCATGGGGTCAGGAACCAGGCCCACGTGCCTACGTTTCTTACTCCAATTCTTAATAATATACGACCAGAAGGAAAGTAAGTGGTGCAGAAGGGAGTCTGAGAGTGAGATCAAAGTCTCCAGAAAACTGATATCTGGCTATTTTTTATGACCCAAAAGGTTTCTCGCTTGAAATAATCTGGAGAAGCAAGAATTTCATGCATGACATGCACGATTGGGGAATTTACCTCCGTAATATGTATTTTTTGTGATTTCTTAGATATTCGTCGGTCTCGGCTGCAATATTGTGCAATGTACTGTGGAGGAGGCCGCGAGGACAGAATCACTTCGTGCTGCTCGTCTTCTTCGACCACCTTCTAAGGATGGACCCACTATGAGAAGAAGGCGTAAATAGGTATAAACACGGAGTAACCCTGAAATCTCTGAAGCAATTAAGGGTATTATTGTTTTCATTAAATTTGTTCTCGTATGGAAGGCTGTACTGTTTGAATATCGATGTCAGCGTTTGTGGCGTCTCACGGCTTTGACTCAGAAGATTCGAATAGTAAGCAATTACTGGTGAACTTCTTAGCTTCCGGTCGCTTTTTTGTGCATGAACGCAAATTCACTTTTAACAACCCATTTCCGATGATTCAAACTGATGTTGAGTTCTACAAATAGTCTTTCCTGATAGTGTTTTCAGTCTTGAGGAAAAGCTGAGGCAAGCCTCAAACCCTTTCCCTCAGTTCCGAAACTACACTCTTAGTTCCACACAAACGCGACGCCCGTCCTTGAGAAGGTTCAATAAATAGGTTAATGTCGAAAAATCATTGAGGTTGACTCACGATGGCTTTTGATTACCGCAAAATTTGACTGCTCACCGTTTACCGTTCTTCTCCCGGGATTCAACTACCTTAAACTTGATTTGCAGGTCTACCGGCTATGCCAGTGATTGCTTTTTAGTAGTGTTACTCGGAGAATACAATAGTGTGAAATAGATGAAATTCTCCCCCTCCCACCACAGTATTGGGTTGCGACTTGTTTTTGCTAAGAATGACGATGTGTGATATTTTATTGTACCTACAAATAAAACCACTCTACGGCTTTTTCTGTTTTCACTCTCTTGTTTGTCATAGCTTATCTGTTGTACCGTTTGTTGTTTTCGTTGTTGTTGAATCTGTTACAATAGCTAGGTTTCAGTCAAGATCCTGTTTTTTATGGGACCCGATGTAGTTCCCTTGTTGAGAAGGACAAAAGGAATAAATCATTAATTAGTTTTTTTTAGATGTGTCACTCACTGTTTTCTCATTCAAGATCGGGGGGGGGGGGCTAGGATGTTATACGGATTAAAGCAACAACCCGGATGAGCAACGTGGCGAAGAATCAGCTTGTGCGTGGGATAGGCTAGTTTACGGGTATTATCTCAGATGTGTCGTTGTCGCGGCTCGAAACGCGCGACAATGGCGCTAGTGCCTTACAAAGTGATTCGATGACGACTAATGAGAAGTTACGGTCGAGGATACCTCGTACACACTCAATGAGCGCAACGTGGATTACGGCATAGCGGCTAATTCAGATGTGCGCGGTTGGTGGGACCGCGGAGCAAGCGAGTTCGTACAACTCGTCCGGCCCCGCCCCTTCTCCTTCTCAAGGGGATAGAGAAGGACTACTGTTAATGGCTTCATTTGGCAAGCCACCTTGGTTCTTTTTTCTTCGTTTTCAGTCATTTCGGCGTCCACAGCTTCATTATCGACCGCTGTTACTCTAAACAGGGTTTGATTGGAGTTGGCTTGCTTCTAACATGCCACAAAGACACAAACTGAGTAATAATCAACGTTCATTATCAAAATACAAGGACAAGTCTGTGGGTATGTAAGCATGATTTATTTAGGAATTCGGATTATCGGCGGAGTGGCAAGTAAGGACAGGGGTGCGTCCGAAAGGGGAGATTATATAAGCTACAAGCAGCGATATCGGACTGAGCAAACCCACAATATGTACCCACGTGCGTTACACGTGCTATTGGCGAGACAATTGTTTAGAATTTGACCATGTATCTCTCCAACAAAATTGTTACCTTGCCCTTAAATTTAATGCCTAAGAACGATGGTTCTACTCTCATCGAATTTTTACATAGCCTAAGATTTTTGAATATGCCACGAGAACCACAAACGAAGTGTAGAATCCTCTACTGGGTTAGGTTTCGTCTTTGATTCATCAATAACACTTAAAGAGACTAAGGTCTGATCCAGTTGGGGATATTGCGTATACTAGGCCACATTAGAATTCAATGTTTTGCAGGTGAAAATTCCCTGGTCTGCATGAACTACTTCCCTTTCGCATTACACCGATTTGGAGCTCCGCTTCCTGGCCGTATGAACCGGGCCGTCGTACCCATGCCTACCCCCCCCCCCCTCTTACGGGTTGCGATCTGCCAAAATCACTTGTAAGCGAAGTGAATTGTTAAATTTTCACCAATTTTTTTCCACAACTTTTGAACTTCAGAAACTACGCAAAGTTGTAGCACATCATTCATCTTCTTATCCATCAAAACAATGTCCCCATTCTTTCAGCAAGGGGGGCATGTGGTGCAATAGTTCGTTCCGGCGACTGTAAGTCCACTTTTTGAAGGGGAAAGGAATTCCGGGATACATGGCTTTTTCTACGCCACCGGAAGTTGCTCTGCAAAAATCGGGATTAACAAAAAGCGAATTTTTCGCGTTTCGCAGCGCGAAACATTTTTCCGTTGCGGGAACTTCAGGTCCACCACTGATCATGAGTGGACCTGGAGACCCCGCAGCGAAAAATGTTTCGCGCGCGAAACGCGAAGTCGCTTTCTGTCCTAGTGAACCACACCCCCACAGGCTCTCTCCGGGTCGTATCTTATCAAAATCCATTTAATTTTTGATTTCCTCACTCGCTCAGAAAAAACTGACATATTGGTACTGTATATATGTATCAGACACCGGTCTTGTGAAGCAAACAAGTGCGGAAATAACGGATAGTCTATTGAAACAATAAATGTTTAAGGACCTATAGGCCCCAGCTGGGATAAGATACGGCTCCGGTCATCAAAAAGATCCGCTTTGCCTGGCAGAACCCGTAATCAAAACCGCGGAAAAACGCAAGGTCAGATTGGTCGTTGTTTTTACCCTTAAGCTCCTGAGATTGGACCTTCTCCAAGACGATTTGTTCATTAAACTTTCAATCTCATGGAATGGTCGGGTCCTTGGAACCATCTCTCCGAAGTGATGGCACGAAATGAGATTGGCCTTGAAGAAGTGCGTTCTTGGGCCCCGTTCCCTGGGAACTGCCATTGGGTGAGGGACGCCGGGGTATTGATTCGCGTCGTTCGCTCGGGAATATGAGCGTGTTGGGGCGGGCAGTCGGCCTCCATTCTCCGTTCACCCGTTCGTCCTCCTCCTACCTTCAGCAACTAGTACAAATTGCCCCCTCATACTATTCATTTGAATTTCAGCAATTCTTCTTTTCACTTGAAAACTTTGCAATCCATCAGTGAATGAAGTGTGCATTTCAAAAAACGACACCATTCTGTCTTTGCGTACAATTCCGCTTTTTCACGTTTCTTCGATCGCGACTCGCTCATTTCTCTCCGTTTTGATTTTTGTTTGAACATTTGGTAATGTGACGAGTTGCATTGTTATGTATGCCAATAAAATCCTATTTTATGGCAGATTGATATGGTAAATGAGTGAAAGGTTTCGCCTGCAGTTCGTTCGCCGACGTGACGTTGCCCTCATTTCAGAAGTTGGTTTCAGTTGTTATTTCCTAAAAGTGTCTGCGGGGCACTGTATAAGACTGAATAGAAATGAATCCATGAAAAAAGGGGTCTATTTCAGTTTCGGGGGGGGGGTATCATGATACAGTTTTCCAGAAGTTAGGGTACTCGACCAGGGATAGTGTAGCCAGTCCAGGGGGTGGGGGTGAAGGCAGTCACTTGACATGCGTGAAAATCTGAAATGTTCGAGTTCACAATAGTTCGCCGAGAAGCTGCATCATGACGCTCCCCCTAACTGGAGTAGACCCAGAAGAAGCATTACAACAGCCTTCTTCCAACTCACCGTACACATAACAAAAGGGCGCTCTTGTCGTTAAGGGGGAGGGGACACGGTCTGGTTCGTCAGGACAGAAAGCGACTTTTCGCGTTTCGCAGCGCAGAACATTTTTCGCTGCGGAACCTCAGGGGCCGTATGCTATCCTTCCCCGAAGCTAGGTAAGCCAAAGTTTCCTTTAAATTTATTTGCTTTGAACGATGTAGTTTCTTCATTTTCAATGCATGTTTACTTTCCTACATGCATACATTTTAATGTAGGCCTTTTATCAGGGTAATCCCAGTTGGGAAGACAGAGAAAATTTAAAGGAATTTTCGTCCCTGACCCTTTGGGGAGGGTAGCATACGGCCCCACGTCCACCGCTGATCGGTTTACGACTCTTGATTTTTCCTCAGTGAGTCCTCCGCGGTGGGTAGAGCAAGACGATTATAGAACGGGGTGAATCTGCCTTGGGACTAAGCTTGAGAGTTCAGGCCGCCGAGAGGGCGCAGAAGCGTTCCAAGGGGACTAGTTAAGATGTCCGTGACGCCGAGTAGACGCGGTCGGTCGCAGCGGGAAATGTTTCTCGGCGGAGCGTGAAAAAAGTCGCTTTCTGACTACTTGAAATGCCTAGTGAACCACATTGTTGGGGAAGGGAGGGGAAATCCAAGTGAGTTAGCCACTTACAGTACTTAGGGGTAAGCGTTGGGGAGGGAAAATGTTACTGGGAAGGATGTGAGCTATTTTCGTTCTCCCTAACGTTTTTCCCCTCTGGCCAGTCGAGTGTCACCTGTTATCGGCCCTGTTCTGACTGTCTCCCTTAACGACATGAGCACTGAGAAAAAGATATCGTTTCAACTGCTCATGTATCCTTGAGCTTTTTTATACACGATCATCCTCTGCCAACAGTTCGCTCGCCATCGCCAGCCGTCAAGTGTTCCCTCATTCGCGAATCCCTTGCGTAAATCTCTTTCGTAATCTTCTTCTTCTTCCCGAGGTTTTCCTTATAAAGGTCACGTTGATGCCTGGTCAGTGATATTTGGAACTCGGTCAACTATCTCAGGCTCCATCGTAGCATCATCTCAATGGGCTTATAAGCTCTTCTTTCGTCAGTCATGATTGGTCTCGCTTTGAAGGTGGCGACTGGTTTCATGGCTGAAGCCGTGGTCATGGCTCATAACTCCAGAAATCTACTCTGCGACATACGCTGGGGCTGATACGGGCAATGATGTGCATGGTAAGATGTGGACTTGTGGTTCCCACTGTGAAAAAGTTCCGCGCTGCGGTAAAGTGGAAAAGTCGCTTTTGGTCCTAGCGACCCACCCCCTACGGGCAATCAGTGCTGTCTGAATTTGATGACTGTGCGACTGACGACGCGGAACGCATGGAGGTGGCAATCAAGTGTGAGGTGCCGCATGGACAATCTCGACTTTCAGGACCTAAATGGAGGATAGTGGAAACAAAAAATGGAGATATTCTCTATCCTCCTTATTTTCCTTCTTCCCACATGTGCACTGCAAATGCTAGCCATTATGTCAAGATTGTAAATCGGTGGGACGTGAATAACTTTGGAAAAAATCCTCGATAACACTGGCACAGCACACGGCTTGTGGATCGCCGCCAGCTTTCTCATTTCGTTTTTCAATTCTTGTTTCTTTTCAATTCGACTCTAGAAAAGCTCGAAATCGCGGTCTCGACGCGGCTTACTGTTCGAAGGACTACTTGAACTCAGCCCTTTAAACCGCCTCTGCGCTCTCGCGGGTCCCTCTCCTCTCCAAGGCTTAGTCCTAGGGCATTCACCCGTTCTCTAATCGTCTGTGCTCTAGCCATCGCGGCAGGACCATTGAGGAAAAATCAAGTAGTCCGTAAACCCACCCATCATCGCCGGCAAACTTAAGAAGACTTATGGTACATGCTTGCCTCCGAAGCAGCTCACAATCAGCAATCTCTTATTTGGTCACTGGGTTTCGTAGAGGTCCCTGGCAACCAATGCATTGATTTTCTGGGACATTGGTGCTGTAATCCGGACAGTGTCGCTAAGGTCCACAAATTGCCCCTCAATGGTTGCCCGAGAGAAAAAAGATTATGGTAGAGCTCAAATTGTCAGATATCGAAAACTGAATGGTTAAAAACCGTCCACATTGTTCACTCGCCCCGTTGTTCTATGCAACATATGGTTTTTGGTAGCCTCCAGCGCATGTGACTGTTCCTGGCATCCCGTATTTTGTCGATTAACCCAACTCAGATCCCATCAGATCTCGATCCCGCGAAAAAAAATGATCGCTATTTTTGATTTGTTCCCCATTTTGCTAAGTGATGATTACTTTCCCGAGCACAAAAATTAATATGTATTTGGATACTGGTAAAATTGCTGATAGATTATTGGGTACGGGTAAACGGACGACAAAAATATGGCGATCCGCAATGGGTTAAATGTTTAGTCTAATGTGAATGTAATGTGAAAATATAGAGCTGATGTCACGGCGCCTTTTTGTATTACTACTCCTTAAGGAACGTTCCATAAACCGTCACGAGGAATACTATTCACAGTATATTTTCTTCCATGTTGTTGGTTTCTATACAAAACGAACGCTCTTTATTTTTCAGAGTAAGTCCGCGTAAATTAAAGAGAAGTGATATTCCAAATGAAGCTTTTAACGCCTTGAGAGAAATGGTTTCAAACGAGGTACAGCTTTTTATTTACATTCACTACTTCCGAAGAGTAAGCATCTTTTTAGTTGTCAACGATTCCATCGGCTAATTTGATGGCAGCCTCGCCAGGTAATGTGGGTTCAAACGGCAATATGTCCGAGGCGAACGTGGAGCCAAATAAACTGCAATTTGGTATGTTTCGGAACCATGTGAATTCATCCCAATTTTGTTTTTGTTGGTTCACGTTCACTTGCGCGTTCTGTGTTCCTTCTTTGTGCGCGCAATCAGCCGTGTGGGACGCGCCAAGTGTAAGAATGCTGTGGCCAGTCGTTAGTTTTTGTGTGGCTACTGCGTTTGCCCGTCATTATCAATTTTCCGTCGCCGTTCCGCCTCTCTGGCCCGTTCCACTTCTCATTGATTTTCATTGCATGACATGCCATATCTATATCATCTTTAACCATATTTTTATGTTGGATTTGTTCAAATTGTGTGTAATTGTAGTGCTCTCAACCTTTTTTTCGTAGATATGGACGATAATGTTTAGAAATTTGAGGTTCAGGTTTGTTCGAAGACGAAGACTCTCGAATGTCAGGATGTGAGTCTTCAGAGGGATCACAGTCCCAGTACTCTATTGAGGAGGACCTCAGCAAGTCACTTGCTAAAGGTTTGTCTTTTTTCTTTGACACACTGTAAGATACTTCATGGCAGCTGTGTAGTTAATGTTTTGGCACATGAGCTTACTGTTGTTACTCGTTCGTGACTTATTAAACTTACTCCGAGAAGGGTTTCTTATCGGCCGTTTGTCCTTTTCGTTCGGCCCCTAGAAATTAGGTCATCGTTGCCGTTTAGATTGTGGTATCTGCTGTCGTTTATGTTTTGATCATACTAGTCACGAAGTTGTTTTTTTTTTGATATTTCCCACAATTCGTGAAGTAACGTTACGGAAGGTTTTTGCTTGCGCCACATTTCATGCAATCACGGCATTATTGAACTGCGACTAAGTGGGGTCATCTCCCATAAGAAAGCGCTGGTTTTAGTTGTGAGATTACCAGCCAAGCGGCCCTGAGATGCATCCTATCCCAAGCCCTTTATTTTTCTTCAGGCAACTTAAAAACTTATTCACAGTTTTTTTTTCACCAGGGCGCCGAACGCCGCTCGCGTCTGCCCCACACAGTATTTTTAAAACTAATCGGTCTCGGAGATTAGACTTAAAGTGAAGGCTCCTCTCGGAGAGCAGACGTCAAATGGGAGAAAATAGCCTAAGAAAAATGTCGATTCAACATAGCTCCATGGTTTTCCTAGCATTTGGATAAGCTGAAGAAGGATGTTAGTGTCGTGAAGACCAATTTCGTCTGGTAGTGCCCTTCCGGTCTCTCTTACTTCGCTGTTACTTCCACTGTGATTTTCGTATTCGTTTTTGTTTTCTTTTCAATGGTCTTCTTTGAAA